GGCAATCTGCGCCGAGGAGACTCTCAGGCAAGAAGAAGGAGAAACGAATCGGTTCGTAGTGGCTGAGCAGGAGAGTCAGCCTTTAACATCTGGCTCAGACAGATCCAAGTGTTTCTGCTCCTGTTTGAAAGGAAAATATATCTCTGTGCCAGTTTGACTGTGGAGAGAGAGAGAGAGAGAGAGAGAGAGAGAGAGAGAGAGACCTTTGGCAAAGTTTCCTTTTCAACACATCTAAACCTGAAGGTAAGGTCCAACATTATTAATGAGCTTTAAGTTTTGCAATAAAATAGTACAGTGAGATTTCTGCTGAAAGAAAAACGTTTTGATTTAGTGGTTTTCTGGGTGTTCAACATGTCCAGCAGATTGATGTGTTTCCTTTCTCCTGCCTGAACTTTCCAGTGTCGTGCTGTGTGCCATGTCCCTGCCACGCACGCTCGGGGAGCTGCAGCTCTACCGGGTGCTGCAGAGAGCCAACCTGCTGGCCTACTACGAAACCTTCATCCAGCAGGGCGGAGACGACGTGCAGCAGCTGTGCGAGGCTGCAGAGGACGAGTTCCTGGAGATCATGGCACTAGTTGGCATGGCCACCAAGCCACTGCACGTGCGTAGGCTGCAGAAGGCTCTCAGAGACTGGGCGGCCAACCCTGCCCTCTTCAGCCAGCCCGTCGCCAACGTGCCCCTCGGGGGGATCCCGCTCTTCAAAGTCGAAGGGACGGGGGCCAGCGAAGGGGTCGCCGGCGGGCCCAGGAAGTCTGTGAGCAACGGGCAACCGGGGTCTCCCGTTGAGAGAGAGGACCGGGCATGTCTTACGCCCATGTACAGCGGGAGTCCCAGAAGCTCCCAGGCCTCTCCACAACCACCAGACGCACACTACAGAGAAAAACTGTCCCCCATGGACCCTCACTGGCTCAGCCCGGAGCCTGACGGCAGCAGTAACAACAACAACAACGCTTTGGCCTCTGCGTCTGGAACAGAGGAGGAGCCGTCCAGCCCTCCTCTGCTGCCAGCGTGTCCTCCTGGTCCCTCCACGTCGCCCGTCCCGTCTGTGTCCTTCGCCCCGGCGGCCCTGTCGGCCTGGCCCGGGGGACAGCTGGACGGGGAGACGGCGCGGGCGGTGGCGGAGAGCGTGGAGCAGCTCTTCAGGACCCTGCCCAGGTCGGACGCCGCGGAGGTCAAGACGCTGTTGAGGATGAATAAGAAGATGGCAAAAACCGTGGGGCACATCTTCCGAATGGCGTCCCAGGACCCAAACAAGGAGGAGGAGATCCGCAAGTACAGCCTCATTTACGGGCGCTTCGACTCCAAGAGGAGGGAAGGGAAGCAGCTCACTCACCACGAGGTAAAAACTTACGAAACCCACACCTGAGCTCACACTTTACATCCATCCTGTATCGTTATAAAAACCTGTTTAGTCTTCATTCAGTGTTTTTTTTTTTTCCCTCCCTAGCTGATCATCAATGAAGCTGCAGCTCAGTTCTGCATGCGCGACAACGCTCTGCTGCTCAGACGGGTGGAGCTGTTCTCTCTGGCTCGACAGGTGGCCAGAAAATGTGCCTACACCTCCACACTGAAGCACGCCAGGTGAGGGAGCCAGCTGGAGGGAGGAAGGTTGAGGAGCGGGCCACGACCTCCCCCAACTCAAACCTGCCGTCTTAAAGCTTAGCCTTCTGGGAAATAAAAATACTTTTTTAACATTAGGAGCCTGCAGAAGCAGACTCCAGCTCATTTGGAGCTTTTCTGATGCACATTTAAACCGTCACATAATAATACTTATGTAAAGGTAATTAATGCAGGGGTTTATTTACCATAATTCACTGATGAGAGTCACCTCCACCCATGGGGTTAAAGTGAGCTTCGAAAACAGTTAAATACATTACATATCATTTTAAATTAAAATAGACTCCAACAGACTTAAGTAAACTTCAGCTTTTCTAAATAACAAATCAAATTGCAGCAATAAGCAGTAAACCCTTTGCTACTCCTATAATTAGAAATGTGTTTAAAGTTCTGTCAAAGTTATTCAAGTCATTATAATTCTACGTCCTAGACCATTTTTTAAAAAATATGTGAAAAGAATGTTTATTTAAAAGGTCAAACTGTCCATCTAAACTTATTTGTTTACTTAAATATRCCCTTGTCTTGTTGTTTTTCCCCTAACTTCATCATCCATTTGAGTATCTACAAGAAACACAATTTTAGGTAACTTTGCATGTGATAWTTTAGTTTGTTTTATTCTGCAGGTCAAATTCTGATGAAAGCAGCATTCTGCCTCAGAAGAGACCAAGGCATGAGGTAAGTATTTACTGAAGAGGGAAGCATTTGATCGTCTGATCTTTTGACTTCGTCACTGAAAGAGGTTTCTCAGCGACCCCCTGTTGTGTTTTAGGTGATCGGGTCTGAGGGGGTTTCATCGCTTCACAGAGTCGAGGTGTCCGAGAGTGCGACTCAGAGGGCAGATGACGACAGCTTGTCTGCAGAAAGCCCGGACTGTGCATCACATGGTAACGCTTCAAATCTGCATTATTTCAGAAAAGCTTCTCTTCACAGAGCTTCAGACCACCGTTTCCTTAACTAGACGTTTTTATTATATTTTTTTTTTACAAGAACGCAGTTTGAATTGAGCTCTGCTTCCATTTTAGACTCAAGCTCACAGTGCAACCAGTCTCCGTCCCCCCGTCCTCACACCGACACCTCCAACCCTGCCAGCTGGAGTCGACATCTCATACAGCAAACTCTGATGGATGAGGGGCTGCGATTGGCTCGGATGGTGTCACATGATCGGGCAGGGAAGCTCACGCTAGGCTCAGACAGAGCTCACGCTACAGGTGACCTTTTAAAGACCGATTTACCTCTACGGTGTGATGTTTTTATGCTCGTCAGGAAAATTCTCATTGGGAACTATGCCTAAAGGGACAGTTCATACCTTTTGAAGCAGAAATGTTATGAATAAAGAATATCTTACCTGTTGTAGATAGCTCTTTCAATGACCCCAGTTTGGCAAAATAGGGTTTAATTGACAAGCTGACAACTATTTTGCGATACACGTGTATTTACACAGACCCCAGAGTTATTTGCAAGTGCATATAGTGGCAGTAGCAGATAGCTGTAACACTTACTGTACAGCCATGGGCACTTCCTGCAAAAATATTAAAGCATTTCAGCCAGAATAACCATGTAATAAAGAATTAATAGTAAATTAGCATGAATCACTAAAAGATTTTGAGGTTATTTATCCAAATGGATGTCTTTCAAATGCTATCCAAAGCAGGAGTTGGGGGGAAAAAAAGAAAATAAATGTGATTCCAAAACTGTCCAGCCATTTTATTTATTTTATTTTATTGTTTACATTTACAGGGACAAGTGTTTTAACAAATGCTGCACACTGTAAGGTTTATAGCCTATAGACTAATTTGTGAGGCACGTCTCCAGTTCGTAAAGTTTGATGCGAAAACTGTTCAAAAGCATTTAAGAAGATGCTGGGGTTGAACTGACAATGACCGACTGAGACTCCCTACCCTCCAATAAAACATGAATATTTTATGGCTCTAAAGTTTAAACCCCAGTGAGTCAGAAGCTCTCTGAGGTGACGCCTCCCACCATTCGCAGCTGAACTTCAGTAGACTGTAAATTAGAAAAGATATCAGTCAGAAGGGGAAACAGAAGGTGGGGAGAGAAGGTGTGTGTGGTGGGGAGGGGTGCGCTGCTAAAGTACTTCTTTAATACCCTGTTACTTCTGTGATGCATCACAGCTCAAGGATAAAGAGAGAAAAAAGTAAGTGATCTGGGCAAGTTAGTTGTTCTGGGCTGAAGAGAGAAAGAAAAGGAGAAAGAAGCCAGCAAAGATGTGAGGAGGCGGAAAGGGAGGGAGAGAGGGGGGGGATAGGAAGTACTCTGTGGGCGGCAGAGTCGGACCCCGCCCCCCCCCTCCCTCCTTTGCAGCGACTGACGTCAGAATGTGTTAGGCGYGTGGGCTGAAGGGCGGGATGGATGGGGCGTGGGGGCGAAGGAGTGGGAGGTAATTGGAGGGGCGTTGCATTGACTCACCAAGCGACAGTGTACGAAAATAAAACCCGTGGGCAGGGAAATGGCACAGTGTTTTTCATACATCCTCTCCCTCTACCAAAAGGACTACGGACACATAACAAAAAACACTAAACAAAAGAGAGAGAGAGAGAGAGAGAGAGAGACATATGTTTTATCTCTGGTGTCGATCTCTCTTACTTCACTTATATCTTCACACAAGTTTCCTCTCACTCATTAATCTCAACTTTCTCCAACTTTCACAACATCCTGTTTTAGTTTATCTTATTTTCACAAGATTTTGTTCCTACATTATAGAGGTTAAAGGTTAAAAAGGACACAAAGTCTAAAACAAAAGGTCGGATTAATGAATTTCTCACTTCTTTTTGTTTCATACACAAAAGAAACCCTGTGTAGGTCTCAAACATAAAAAAATGACGTAAGAAGTTGTGCCTTTCTGAGGGTTTTACAGTCTGATGATGCACATCAGTGCATCTGTTACCATACAAACATGATTAATACCAACGTTTGTGCGGTGTGGTTTCTGTCATGCCCACATGATTTTTTTAAGTTTATCACTGTTTGAGCAGCCAAAAAGGTCCTTCAACTCTGCAGTGCTGGGGACATTTTGTCTTTCAGCAGCTTGGGTTGGTTGGTCGCATAAACCCTGATGACTTCACYTCATGTGGGAGAGTTTCCTGTTAAACTCCCCCAAACTATCATTCTAAGCTCCTTAAACACTGGCTGCATGTAGATTATTGTGACTTTAAAACGTATTATCCTCGACTTTGTTAGGATTTTTTCTGCCTCCATCTCTGATGCAGTATTCAGTTTTGCAGTGARTCAGACACAGTAAACATTTAGTGTGTTGTTGCAGACATTACAAATCCATTGGTTTCCACATCRTTAAAAATTTAACTGACTGAATTATTTAAGTTGCTGGTAAAATCTCAGCTCCAGTGGAGTTGTGCACTATTGTCTTGTTTTCTTTTGTGTTTATAAATAATATTTTAAAATTAAATTGTGACTGGTTGATACTGGTTGATTATGCTGTTAAGTAGGATTGTTTTGTTTGGTTTTCTTTAAAATTAATTAGGACAGTAGTTAATTTAAAACAAATTTCCCCAAACTAAATCACTCACATCAGATCATATAATTTTGTATTGTATCATACTTCGTATCATGTCACATATTGTATCGTATCATACTGTATCATATATCACATTATATCTTACTTAATCGTAATTTATCATATTATATATATTTTTATTATATATTCTATTGTATTGTACATCATATATCGCATTGTATGAMATATTGTATATCATATATTGTATATCGTACATCATATAAAATTGTACCAAACTGTATTGTAGTGTATCATATATTGTWTGATATCAAATCTCATATAAATTGTATAATTTTGTATCAAACCATAACACATCAAAACATACTGCATTGTATCGTATCATGGCATGTCATATACTATACTATACTATACTATACTATACTATACTATACTATACTATACTATACTATATTGTATTGCACCGTATTACATCATGTCACATATTTTATATCTGGTCAGCAGGGCTCAAGCTCTGTACTTTCCACTGCTTTTCTAATGAATATTTTTTCATGGGACTTCTAAATGATACGAACTCTCATCGTGAAACCTCCATCTCTCCACAGATCAGGACAGTAAAGGGGAGCGGCTGAGCTTGATCACAACATGCAGGAGCAGCAGTCCTTGTATCACCAAAGATCAGATCCTCAACTCCAATAATCGGGGGAAGTGAGACCCTCTGTGCTTGTCAGGAAGTGTGTGAACTTCTGATTGATGGAGAAAGGACTCCCATCATCAACAAAATCAAAAGAGTAAAATTGAGACCGTACCAGCAACAGATTGTAGAAATTGATTCCTAAACCTTATCAATTGTGAACAAAGTTCCAAACAATCAGTTTTATATATTTAGTAGCTAGAAGAAACACTGTTTCAGCTTCAGCTTTTGAATGCATGGATATTAACATTGAATCTGTCTGGGAAGCTCTTAGGGCATTGCTGTTTGTAGGACGTTTCACCTGCTGCAGATGAAACAGGCATCACGCAGCAGCAGCAGGGGGCACTGCTACTGTGGAAACTGGCTCACAAGTTCGTCTACGCTGAACAACTCTCTAACTTGTTTCTTTTAGTGGGGCTGTCTCTTTAAAGCATGTGTCAATATTACGTTCTGAAGCTCCTCACTTCATGAAACCGAGGGGTAAAGGGGATAAAGTCAAACTAACTCACATATCAATGTTATTTATGTTGGAACTAAAAACAAACCCTTTTTTTAAACCAAGAAAGCATGTTTAACAGATACAAGAGTCTTCATCATCCTCTTTATTCTAACTTTCTGCTGCACAACTGGCTGTTTTGATGTCTTTTTTTTAAGTTACAAATCCAGGTTTAAAATTTGAGATGTTTTGTTCCTATTTAGTAAAAATTGACTCCTTTTTTAGAGATGATTTGCTTAAAATAAATGCACAGATGCTTTGAAGGACAGCGTCTTGCTTAAGGGGCCTCCTATACAAAGAACGTTAGTTTCAATTTAAACCTAAATGTTGTGCATTGAAGGTGATACTGTAGAGAAGATAGATTTTAAACCATGTTACAAAATTCCTAATTTGAGAATTTAACTAGTTTTCTTTTTAAAGGAGGTGATAAATATCTGGATTTCCTTTAAAAACTGATGTTGGTGTGTTTTTAAACTGTTCTGTTTTTGGAGACAGATTATGGTAAATTAGAGACTCGTGCAGAAGTTAACAGAAAGAGCATTTTAGTTTTTATATAGCAGCTTTTTCAATTTTAAACAAACTGTCATGTTCCCCTAATGAAATGTTCCAGTGTATTCAGTCAGCTTATTGTTCATTGACTGAAATTTTGTACATTAATGACAAAGTACGTCAATGAGGTAGTTTGCCATGCATCACTCACACCTGCCTGTCTCTTCAGCATTAGTAACCTCCTCGGTTCATTAAGTTGCAAAACAGATTATTTATTTTGTTATATCCTAATAAACGTTACTTTGCAGATTTCAACTCGTGACGCGTTGTGTTCCTCACAGGGTGATTTTATTCTCTTGGCAGTGCTGATGTGTGGAAGAGGCAGCAGGAGCTGCGTCACACGCCCAGCAACACTCCTGCTGTCATCTTGTTGGTTGTGCTGACGCTTCAAAGGCCGCTGTGACTCACCGGCACCGGTGATGTCATCAGCACTCATCCACACAGACACTTGAGAAGGAAAAAGATCAAAGCAAACATTGGATCATCCAGAAAAATTCAGCTTTTAATTGCAAATAGTAGTTTTGTAAAAGGCTTTCAGTTTCACAAATCTCTAAAGAAGGCAARATTTGTTCAGAATGAAACATCTACACACTCATGAGTTGCTGTGCTGTGCAGAAGTTTTAAACCTCCACTAATCTTTTTTTAAGGAACAACACTTTCCTGTAATCCTTTTAGTGGTCTTGATCAACACCAAACATAATTTACCATAACAGCAAATTGTGCTCAWAGTAACAATAAAAGCAATTGGGGAACAAATTAGGAAATGTCAGACATTAAACAATATATCTGAAAGTATGAATTCATGAAATAATAATAAAAAATGTACAAAGATTTGACMTGAGAGATGCATCAACCTTCAGCTGATCATCATAATGTTCAGATAAGAACTCGCACACTCAGCTTGAAAAATATTATTCTTGTTGATCAAACTGTGTTACATTTGGTGTTTTTTATAGATTCAACAAAGAAATAGGAACAAATTGTGTTTTTGTGACAAAAGCTACACACTATAAAATAGCTCTGTTAATTTTTTTGTGTGTGTTTTATGTTGCCCAGTATGTGAGGAGCCGTCACTGGTTCTATCGTGTTTAGAGGTAGTTTAAACCCAAAAACACATAACCAAAACTCAGATCGCAAAGGAAAAAAAAAAAGAAATAATTACTTTACAAAAAGCTGACAGTGAATAAAAACAAAGCAAAAAAAAAAAAGAAAGCAAAACTCACTAGATAGGATCTCAGGAGGAACACAAATGAGAACAAAAACATGAATAACTTAAAAGCACAGAYGTTAAACAAAGTCACAAGTATTTGAAGTCAAACTAATTAAACTTTTGTAAGTTTGTTTTCTTTTCAAACATGATGCTGTGATTTTCTGTTTCTCTAACACATTTTCAAAGCTTGGCCCGCTGCCACCAGCTTCAGCCGTGCTCGTGTTCACTGATCTGCTGGTCCTGTGATGCTGATGATGAGGATGCTGATTATGATAAAACAAATAGTTTTACATCTCCGCTGTACAAGAGCGATTATCTTCATGTTAGTGTTCTTCACTGTGACTCAGAGAGCAGCAGTCACAAAGAAGAGCACTTATCATCTATCAGCGCTGCTAATTACAGAGCTGTGACTTTATTTTTAGTCCTAGTTATTCCTTCAGTAACAGTGTCCAACAGCAGACAGCTGACCTGATGACAAACAGCAGAGACCATTAAAGACGGAGAAAGTAAGAGTTAAACAGTCTATTTTCATGTAGTTTAATCTTACAATTTAAATTAAATTTATTACAATCATTAGGACATATAACATCACACTTGTATTTTTAGAGACATTTAAAAATAAAAGGAAATGTTTCTGAAAAGCCTGCATGTGCGAATTCCAAGTCGAAGACATTTAAATGAATTTCATAGATGCTTTTTTCTGTTTGAAGAAATGTTTGAAGTGACTAACAACTCAAACTCCATCATAATAGGACCCTGTCATTCAGTCTGAAAAGATGTCATTCAGTGAGCTGTTCTTCACATCTGCAGCCAAATCTGCTGGAGCTCAGAGTGTAATCATCATCATCATCATCATCATCCAGCCTCATCTTTATCCAACTCACAAATCCACTTCAGGCTGTACTGCACCTGACAAGAAGGAAGTCTGGAACAGGGAAAAAAGAGAAATATATTTACAGAGTTATTACAGCAGGAGTTACCACAGAAGTTTTTGTGTTTTTCAATATGCTACTATTTAAAAATGACCAAACAGACAGCACCAGCTTTTAATGCTCATTAGTTCTTTTAGCTGAGAATGCAGAGACTCCAGTTTGAAATGATCCAATTTTTTTCAGTACGGTTTTTGGCACAAAGTTTTTGTGCTATTTGAACATTTTATAACTCAGAATGTTCAGATATACTTCAGGAAATTCCGGCAAAGACTTTTTGAATTTCAGTAATTTATGTTTTTTAAGATATTTAGCTTTTTCTGCCCCTTTTTTTTTGTCATTGAGCTGTCTTCATCTTATAAATCTTTTAAAATGATTTTGAATCTTTACGATACTTTTTTTCTTTTTCTCCAGTATTTTTAATTCTTTGCGCCAATTTCAGCAGTTTTTGGCTTTCTTTTTGCCACATTTAGYTATTTTCCTGCATTTTCATCTATTTATATCAGCAAAGGCCAGCTGTTCATATTTAACTCACATTAACCTGTTGAGCCTGATGGGCCCAGTACAGGGCCTACAAGAGAAACGAAGGAGAAAATATGGGCTTAAAGGTTTTGCTATTAAACGTTTTCAGCTTGAGTTCAGCTTCTTCAGCAGCTTTCAGCAAATGCTTTTTCAGCATTTAGCATTCACACTGTATTTTTGCAGGAAATACAAAGTCTCTAGTTTTTTTAATATTTGTCCATAAAGTCAAATAGTTATTTTAGTGTTGAAGTTATGTGTGATGTTTAGCAGTTGATTAGGACTAAGCTGTTTAAGATGGTTGCTGTAAATTAAATGAAAAGATCCACATGTCCAACAAGAGAAGAAAATGAAGTTTTCTCTAAATGTTTGCATGGTCCAGAAACAACAAATAAATTCAGAACTGCAGATGGAGACTTTATGCTCACATATTGAGTCATTTGTAGTGAATGAATCATCTTAATAAAAATAATATTTCTAGCAGACTCTGATTATGCACATAGATAATTTTGTTGTATTTGACTTAAATGTTTAGGTAAATAAAGTCTGTTTTTATTCAAAAAGATAATCAACATTCACTTTAGGCACAAAACAGTTAGTATCTGATGCCCATTAGGACATTTCTTTATTGCCCCAGTCTTAACTCAGCTGGACAGAAAGACCATTAAGTCTGGTCTAGRTGACGTGGGTGCAGAGATGTCGCAGGAACTCTCCCTTTGTCGTCGAGTCTCCAGGAAAAACTGCCTGGCAGAACTCGCAGACGTGAGACTGCAGCGCCACGTCGGACATCAGAGCTCCTCCCGCCTGCTGGAGGAGGTCACCAACCTGAGACGAACAGTTGCTCACAGGCGTCTGAAAAAGATCACAGAAAAGAGGAGACGTAAAAAATTAAATAAAGAGACAGAGACACCTTTGTCCAGGAGAGACACTCACCCCCGCTGTGTGAAAGCTGTCCTCACCAGGACCATTCTGCTCAAACCGGAATTTGCCAAAAGAAGCTGCAAGGTATCCTGATGAGTCTGAAGTTAGCATGAAGGAACCCATTTTCTCCGTCTTCTCATCCTGCTTTCTACAACAAGGCCCGTCCACCCTGAGCTTTGACATGTCCTCAGCAAGGAGAGCAGAAAGAGCCCCCGCTTTACAAGAGGACCCCTCAACTCTGCATGGTTCTGCAGGGAGCAGGAGCCCAGCTCTCAGAGGCTGAGGCTTTTCATRCAGAGATGAAGGGATGTCTGCAGGGATGGAGATCAGATCGCCCACTTCTCCATTAAAAACAGCTGCACCTGCACAAAGACGGAAATGTTAAGTTTAACTACCGGCACGCTGCTTGAGAGGGCTGAAGCCGAAGAGCAGACCTTGTTGTTTCTGCAGAGCCGCTGTGAGTTGATGCAGCAGAGCCGCCTGTTTCAGGCAAAGGGACCTCAGACGGAGAAACTGCTGGTAGAGTTCATTGTACGCTTCCTCCATCGCACCAGCTGAGGGAGCTCCTGCTGGAAAACATCACAAGGATCAGTTTACACATTGTAGCTACAGCCAAAACACACACACTGATGAAGTACTGAAGTATTCAAATATTTTAATGTATGCTGATGATACTGTTCTTTTTTTGTCTGATTTCAATATTGAATCTATTAATAGTCAGTTACAAGCAGA